GATAGTTTGAATAGCATTATTTGAGAGTATTCTGGTAGAGAAATTGAATAATCACAATGCAATAAATGCTTTTCTTACTCTGCCTTGTCTCATTTCTGGTCCAAATATCTAAAAGTTCTTAGATCAAGTAAAAATATTGTTTTGTTTTCAACTTGAGAAAAAACATTGAGAGTCAAAATGAAGAGTTTTCCTTAAAAGAAGCAAAATTATCTGCCAGCTTTGAAATGAGGATATTTGGACTAGAAACCAGAAAAAAACTGCATTAATCGTATATATTAATAAACTGTAATTCGGACTCAACATTGCATATCTTGCGATATGACTATTGTGTGTGCACACATCGCGATATCCATGCTGAAACGATAGATTGAGTAAATGTTACATTTTTGGTGAACTATCCCTTTAAAGACACTGTTTATTTCCACTGCGTGTTTGATGTAACCAAGTGGAGCGAAGGAGGACAAGACAAATGAAGATAAAGACGGAAGCCAAAAGAGTGCTCAAACACGAGGTCAAACACGAGTCCGATCCCAACGTCTGTTTATCTGATGGAATGAGTAATGGAGACCTCTAATGCTCATAAATGTGCTGGAACTCATACTAAGAGCCAGGCTGGATTTAACAAGCGTTTATGTGTTGGTGGATAATCAGACGGCCTGTTTTAGCACAGCACAGTGACCGAGCACAAAAGGGCTTTGGTTTAAAATGATGCAGAGGATGGCATATACAATTAACCATGTGCTTTTACCTTTTGCCGGGAATTTATCTTGCTGCAACAACATCTGTACACTCAAAAAATGATGTTTGATGTTTGTTCAAACTACTTATTTAATATGAGCTGAAACACCACGATTCTTTGTTTTATTTTTTAGTAGAACTTAATTGTTTTATGTTTAATCTACTTTAATTAGTAGAAATTAACAAGTTAACTTAATTCTTTGATGTTGTCCCAACACAATCAATTTTGTGGAGCCCAGCATTTTCTTTACAGTGTATGACGTACAAATGAATGCATTGTATTTGGGGAAAAACATATTTAGTTGAGTCTCATGTTGATTTTATCTGATCATATTTCACTATTAAACAAAAAAGAAGAACAAAAAAATTAGCAAAATGCCTTAATCATTAAAGTTTGTGAACCTATAAATAAAATAAATATTTTTACTAAATTAAAGTAAAAACATTACCATAAGGTCAACTAGTTAACATTATTTTATGCATAATAAGCAACAAGAAATACATTTGTTACCATATGTATTTCTATTTGTGGATTTTATAAAAAAAAAAATATATATATATATATATATATATATATATATATACATACACACACACACAGTCCTTCATTGTTAATTCATCTTAACTCAGTTTGAAAAAAGTATTACATCATTTTTTAAAATCAAAGTTTATTTTATGATTATTAAATGATTTAGAAGCGCTTTACATGTTAACTGATTTAGGTGATATGGCCACAACCTTGTGGTGTATTTGGACCTCTTTTTTTTTAGTGTATGGTGAGGTGGGTTTTGGGTGGGTGGACGATTGCTAACTGTTGAGCAGGGGGCACTTTCATTAATTTTTGAGGAGCATTTTTTTATTTTTTATCCAAAACAAAAAAGGCATGTGCTCTGCACATGTTGAGCCCAACCTGTGCACATGCCTGCACTATACTGTCTTTAGACGTATAACGTCAGTAGACGTTAAACAGACTAACTCTGTGGTCATTAAAAATCCCATGGCACTTCTAGTAAAAAGTAGGCGTGCCCTGTCCAGTTGGTGTCCTGGCCACATTCCCTTCATTGGCCCTTACCGATCATGGCTTTCCAATCATCCCAATCAATTTAATTCACCTTTATTTGTAAAGCGCTTGTACGGTGTAGATTTTGTCAAAGCAGCTTCACATAGAAAGTCATGGTAAATTGAAACAGTGTCGTTCAGTTTTCAGAGTTTAAGTTCAGTTCAGTTTAGCTCAGGTCAGTGTGGTTTAATAATCACTACTGAGAGTCCAAACACTGAAGAGAAAATCCATCGATGCGCAGCTCTACAGATCCTGAATCATGCAAGCCAGTGGCGACAGCGGCGAGGAAAAAACTTCACCAATTGGTGAAAGTGTCCAATTGTCCTAGTGAATGCTGCACACTGGTGGTGGTGTGGAAAGACCCCCGTCATGATTGTAAAGCACTTTGAGTGCAGTGTTTCCCCTATCGTTATATAATATGGGCGCCCTGCCCTCCCAACGGCTTTCCCCGCCACCCTTGAAGTCAAGTAAATTGTATTTTATGTATAGCGCAAGATCACAACTCCTTTTAATAAACAAGCTAAATAGCCGTATGTTATACCTTATTTACACAACGGCGTGTAATTTCTGTCTCTACATGGTCACGCGATTACAAATTTCTCCTCTCTGAATCGCGCACGGTGGAGTTCACACAGCCACTCTCAGCTGTATAGGAATGAAAGTGCGCGTCGCCACACAGGTAAATGATGCGTGGGTGCGTGAGCGGTCGATGCGCTTGTCACAGCAGCTAAAAATGAAATATATACAGATGCAGTGCGACCTGTTTACAGTTTATTGGCGTGACTCACGTGTGCAGAGTTATCGCCTCTATCTAGTGTCTCATCCAACCTTATGACCTCTCCCAGAAGCTCTGTGAGTCTCCCACAAACTTATACCGGCTCTGTGATCCCCAAAAATTAGTTAAATAATCGGACATCATTGCGACTAGAGTAAATGAGCAAGAAAACAGATCGCGAGAGGCACAGTGATGGACTAAGCATTACATTTCTTCGGTTAAATGAATAGAGCAATAAAGATATCATGAGTGCAAATCCCTCTCTCTCTCTCTCTCTCTCTCTCATTGAGAGATCTGCTGTCAATAGTTGGAGACGAGCAAAATACCTGAATGGTCCTGCATGTATTTAGGCCTTTTTACACACAAAAACTGAAAGTTCTGTGTTGACAATATTGCAAATTCACTAAAAGCTGGCTGGAATTGTTAGATAAATAAAACTTGATTTATTTTTAACATGAATATTTAATAATATAAATTCTTGTAATATACTTATTGCAATAAACAGTTTATAGGCCTATTTCCTTTTAGTAAAGAAGTATTAGATTTATAGGTGTGCATTTTACCTTCTTATGCATCAAATGTGAGCTCCAAACGTGTTCTTGATTGTGTCATGTTGAATTCGTCTTTCATCATTTGCAATGTTTCCAAATTGCATTGTAATTTGTCATGACAATTTTTATCTCTGGGTTATATTATTTTTTGTGGTGGTTTATTCCGCTGTGGCGAGCCCTGATACATAAGGGATTAAGCCCAGGTAAAATGAATGGATGAATTATTTTCTGTAAAGCTGCTTCTGCCCATCACACGTTCACATCTAAAGAGATATGTTTGAGGTTTTATATGCAGCATCCTTGATTTATTCTCTTAGGCTAGATCTTCTCTTAAGGTTCATACTTTGAGGGAAAATGTGCTTAATGAAGCTTGAAGCATTAGAATCGGTGCTCAGTATCAGCCGATCACCATGGCAAGGAATCAGAACTCTGTATCGGCTGCAAGACTCCTGATCGGAGCAACCCTAGCTTTGATCCAACTTGCCTGTCAGAGCAGCAATACACCCTCTGGCTGTACAAGACTGATCTTGGTAAGTCAGTAAATGCACTCTAAGGAAAAAGAAGTATACTTAAGTAAAGGTCAAGTAAAAGTATACTTTATTTAGTAAGCATACTAATATCAATGTACTAGTAGTGTACTTGAAATGTTCTTCCAGAAGCACATTAAGATACACTGCTGTGACAAAAACTGCAGACTTTGGATAAAGATATAAAAATAAATGTTAATTTTTAGCTTTTTTATTTGTACAGTTTAAATAATTGTTCAGTTATTTACTGCTGTCATTAAAAAAAACAAATTAACTCCTTGTGTGCCCCCCCCTCCTGCTATAAATACACACATTACATTTCAACAAATAAAACCATACTGTGTGTTGCCCTTCATTTTATATCTATATAATTTTTTTTTGTGCAGGAATTGTCTTTGCAGTAATAATATAATGAAAATAAGCATTAGCAGCATATTTATTTTTCATTCTACATTGGATCATTGATGATAGCATGAATTTTAGGCATGTTTTTTGACACTTAGATAGATGTTGTTTAACATATTTTCTCTAACAATTCTCATCATAATAATGCAAAAAAATCAATACTGTCATGAAAATGATCCACAGCAGCTTACAGGTCCTAATAAGAAAAAACTATGTGATATATTTATTTATTACCGTATTTTGTCATCCATTAATGTGAACTGTTTAATGAGAGTTGTTCTATTAGACTTTTTTATTCAAATTATTTCATAAAGCAAAACAAAACAGTTGTCTCTCTTTTTGATATCCATATTATAGTCTTTCACTTTTTCCATTTTTATTCGATCATTTTGGAGTGATATATGGCTCAGTTCTGTGGTGTATCCTTTTTTTCTGTTTCAATTTGAGGGAAGAACATTCTGTACCAAACTTGTGAAAGAGAGCAAGAAATTGTGCCAAAGGTTTTTTTCCTATATAATAAGCTCCAAAGCCGGGCCGGCATTTCAAATCCTGAGGGTCAAACTGGACGCAGGCAGGAGGGAATCTGAAGGAATGTATTTGATCGCCAGCTGACCCAAAACATACACACGATATTTGAGCACACACATGCATTTGTGTGTGTGTGTGCTCAAATATCCGCTGTAATCAACACAGGCCTTTCCTGTTTTCAGATTGTCACACACACACACACACACACATTTTGCTCCTCTATTCAGTATAAAGTGTGTCTTTGTGATGATCAGTTGTATCTGTGCCAGAATTACCCTGCTATCTAAACTCACCATCTGTATTTCTATCACACTGAGAAACCAAAGCTGCACCTTCTGACACTTATTGTGCTGTAACACTCAAGCAGACTGTTGTGTCATTGTACGCTTTCTGACTCTGGCTTTGACCTTTCATAGGATTCAAAGTTAAAGAAGGTGAAATCGAAGCGAGAAAAGGGAGACAAAAAGTTGTTTCCGTCTCAGGACGATGAACACATCTTGCTGACAGGAGTCACTGTTTCTCACAGAAGAGGGTAAGATTGTTTTTCCTGAATCTTTTTGGAGCCTGCGCCACAATGCTACCCTATAGTATATGCTATTGAAGTATAATATAATAAACATTATTACAACAAGGACTATATTTTAAGATCACAACCCCAAACTACATATAAAACACTTTAAATCTATACCACTATCGTTCAAACCATTGGGTTTTACTTGTTTGTCATCAGTAAGTTTTTCATTATTGAAATATATATACTAAAGATAAGTTCAGTCAATAGCTATGCTTCCATCCAAAATGCTAATTAACAAAACTGATTATCTAGCACCAAATATCAACAGTAAAAACGAAATTTGCTGCGATAAGAGAAGCTGCGTGAAACTTTTCTTCATTTAATAAATGACTTGCACCTCAGAAGGCAATCCTGACACGCAGTGAACGCACAGTGGCGTTTGATTCTGGAGGTCATTATTTATATATTAACACTAAAACCCCTTAACCGTTTCAGTATTAGAATGACTAAAACAACATTTCAGATGTTTTACAATGTGTTCAGCCTGCTGGTTTATCCATTCACACACATTTTTATCATCACATGATCACTTATAACAAAATCACATGGCCTTTTTAAATCCGCATACTGGAATTTGTACTAGAACAATCATTCTACTCAGTTATGCGCACGTTTTTATGCGCATTTTCCAAATTTAAGCGCATCTTGGCATTTCCATCAACCATTTTTTTAAGCTCATGTCCAAAATTTGCATTAAAATAGGTGGATAGAAATGTAGCTGATGATGTCTATTTAAAATATACTAAATCTGAATCTGTTTAAACTGAAAAATCTTGATTTCTGTGCTTCAGATTTATAACATCCCTTTCTCTCTACATTGATATGGAGAGGGTAAGGAAGGATTAAGGGCGTACTTGCACTATGCTATCCGAACCGTGCCCAGGCCCGTTTCCCGGATCGTTTAAGTAGTGTGAGTGTGCTGAATCGGGCTCAGTTGTGTGTGAGTGCAAAACGTGCCAAAGCCCGAAACTGAAAGTGAGACGAGACTTTTAAGGCACTGTTTCATATGGTTTTATTAGTCAATCTTACTGTTCAATGAATGCAAACTGCCATAGTTTATTAAATACGCAAACCCCTTACTGCACGACAGCTGTGCACCTTTAGCAAACCTCCTCAATCCTGCAGCACGAGGGCTTTATGATTGTTTATGAGTGCCAAAAGTGGCGGATCTGTTTGGCGAAATATCTGACTGCGTGTCACCGCATCCCTAAGGGATTGTTTGGTGAAATATTTGACTGCATATCAAAGACTTAAACGATATAACTAGAGAAATCTCCTCTGCGCTGAGCGAGAGCGCTCATTGAACAGCGCAGCATCGATGACGTAAGCGTGCCCAGGCCCAATTGTAATGTGAGTGCGGGCCGTCGGGGAAGACGGGAGGGGGGACAAGCGTGCTTTGGCCCGGTTCGAGGCAACTGTACATAGTGTGAGTACGGCCTAAGTTTTTTATGTTTGCTAAAGGGTTAGCCGAATGTTTTATGTATTACATAAAAATTCTGTTTATGTGTTTTTTTATTATTATATTTTTATCTGGAAGATTTTTATAATAATGATAAGTATGCGGAGAATCTTGTAATCTTTTCTAGCACTTTTAAAGTGTGTTCACACCAAGAACAGTAACTACTGTATAAAGATAAATGTAAGATCTCATCTCTAAATCTTGCACCAGGTTGCACATTTGCACTATAGACACTCTTAATCACTCCATGTCTCTTGGAAACATTTCAAATTGTTCTTCACACAGGTGAGTTGGCTTGACAAACCACCTGTAGAAACACTCTTCTCTCTTTATGCACCTGACACTTTACTTAAACTCCATCTTACATAGGCTCAATAAGGAAAACGATGTTTGTTTACTTGTTTACTTAAACCTTTAATACCTCTTTTGCACAATATTCAACCTTTAATACCTCTCTTGCACATGATCCTGCACAACATTGCTCAGTCTCATGTAAAAGTACTTGTATAGCCTGTCTTGTGTGTATAAATAAGTTTCTTATAGTATATGTTAGTTATGCATACTAGTTTTTTTTTAAAATAGCTCTTATGTCCCGTGTAGTGTTTGTATTTATGATTAATTATGTAGCACAGTTGTTCTACAAAGGACACATGTAGAGGAATGACAATAAAGCTCAACTTGACTTGTTTTAAGTTTAAAGAGGACCTATTATGCAAAAATAACTTTCGTAAGGGGTTAAAACACAGTTGTTTGGCAACAGTGTGTGAATATAACCAGCCTTTATTACTAAAAATGAATTAATTATATTTTTATAATCACACTTTTATAAACAGTCTGTAGAAACACTTAGATTGTCACTCCCTTTGTACATGTCATCATAGGGGGAAAGCCCTGCCCATTAGTGATGATCTCTCCCTCATTAGCATAAACTGCCCTGAGTGAGAAGCAGCCGTCCACATTAGTTTACCACCTTAAAACCAGCAGATGTCCTTAGTGTGCTACATTTTTATAGACTATTTGACCAGTATGGTGACGCAGTGGTGCACTAGGTTGTGCTGTTGCTTAACAGCAAGAAGGTCGCTGGTTCGAGCCTCGGCTGGGTCAGTTGGCGTTTCTGTGTGGAGTTTGCATGTTCTCCCTGTGTTCGCATGGGTTTTCCGGGTTCCCCCACAGTCCAAAGACATGCAGTACAGGTGAATTGGGTAAGCTAAATTGTCCATAGTGTGTGTGAATGAGTGTGTGTGGATGTTTCTCAGAGATGGGTTGCAGCTGGAAGGGCATCCCCTGTGTAAAAACCTGCTGGATAAGTGGGTGGTTTATTGCGCTGTGGCGACCCCGGATTAATAAAGGGACTAAGCCGAAAAGAAAATGAATGAATGAATATCTGACCAGTGAATCCAGCTCGTGTAATCAATCTAATCAAGCAGTGAATTTAACAATAGCAGACGATGTAGTGGAATAAAAACATGGCAAATTATTTTCCCCAGCATTTTGGAGGCAACATAAAGACTTCGAAATTGGCACTGTATATCTGAGGTATTTTTATATCCCAGTTTGCTAGTTTGGCTTGCATAGCTTCCATATAAGTTTTATTATTTCCTCTCACTTTATAACATGTTGTTTTAAAGAATCAAGATTATCTAGTCATTATTATTTTCTTTAAATAATACTTGAAAAGAAAGTTTAACATCAAGAAGAGCTTCTCTAAAATGTTGCCTGTAGCTTTAATTTCGCCCAAGCCATTTAGATTTTAATATTTAAATGTTTTATTGACTATTAGTTCAAACAACTTCTCCTAAAAGTGATTGCTGTGATATTGTTTCTCTAGATCTTTATCATTAGAACTGTAGTCTGAACTCGGCTGTTGTTTCACATGCAGAACGATGTCCTCATTGTTATCTTAGCAGTGATCAAGCTTTTCGTGAACAGGCCCCTTCAGTCATTTTTAGTGACATAAACATTCCCTGTAGATGTTAGAAAGTCTTTCAGAAATCCTTTCTACGTGTCGATTCAACTGAATTCAGGTAATTCCAATGTAGCCGAAATGTTAACCAGACATTTGCACCCAAAAGAGATGCTAAAAATAAAGCACAACGCTTTCCGGATTACATGTTTCTCTTCATAGGCATTGTTCGATTCAAAACCACATTATGTAAATCTTTTTGTTCTACCCCAAACTCACACCACTGCTCCGGTCTGAAATGAACAGGCTGAAACAGACAAAGCCATGTTGTAAAAGCACCACAGAGCCGCAGTGTTTACAGTCTGTGGGGAAATGAGCCAATCACTGACTTCTTCTTCACTGTGCTTATTAAAGTTGGAGGAGAAAAAAACATTGTTTAAAGGGATAGCTCATCCCAAAATACAACATTTACTCACCATGAAGTGGTTACAAAACTTTGAAGAGTGTAGTTGTTGTTGTTGAACACAGAAAAAGATAGAATGTTGTAAACCTGTAACCATTGACATGCTAAGAAGGAAATACTATGGAAGTCAATGAAACTCAAAATATCTTATTATGTGTGGAGAGGTCTATACTATATGGGCTAATCATAAAATCTTTACATTGCAATGCAAAATGTACTGTATGGTTTTGTGCATAAACATAGTGTAGGTTTAAATAAGTCACTGAACCATCAAGTGAGTGTCAGAAATGGAAACCGCACCCTGTGGCTCGACTGCCGTCTTTCCTGCTGAAGGAATATGTGGCTGCTTTCTGCTTATTATGACGCATAGACATCATGCATAGGATATAATGACTTCACTGTCTTGCCTTGTACGCTTTTATTTATGGAAGTTTTGCAAGTCAACAGGGACAAACTAAGAGAAGTGATTCTTAAACATGGGAAATGGGGTTTAGTTTGCAATAATATTGTACAATAGTTATGTTTTACTATATTTTTGATCATATGAATAAGGTTTTTATGCAGTGATGGCTTTTAAAAAAAACATTCATTTAAAATACATTATATAGTATAACTTTATTAAACCAGAAAATTAAAACATCTCTAATATGTAATGATGATGATAATAATAATAATGCTGTTGTTATTATTATTATTATTATTATCATTATTATTATTATAAAAGTTTAAAAAAATGTAGAAAAAAATATTAAGAACTCCATATAAAACATGAAAAATAGTAGAATTTGTAAATACTGTAGCATAATAGTAATGGTAATGTAACTAGTGTTATAATAAATTCAATTATTAATAAGTGATATAATAATGAAACTACATCAGTTCAATATGAGAAATATGAAAATATACTTGAACATAAAAACACAGGCCTGCATTTGAAGTCAAACTAATTAGTTCTCCTATATTAAAATAAATTCTTTATCAATTATTTTCCAAAGTGATTTCATCAAAACATTTTTAAACATATAGCACAAACATTTTAAAACAAATAGTTTTAATAAATAATTCCTATTAACAATTTTTTGTAGTTTCCCATGATGACAGTACATAATATTTTACTCGTTATTTTGCAAGGTGCTGGTGTTTAAAGACTCAATTAGGTTAATTAGAAAGCTTGGTTAATGAATAAGTCATTGGTCAACAGTGGTTTGTTTTTTAGCCAATCGAAAAATAACAATTTAAGGTCAAATAATATTGCCTTGGCAGTTTTTAATAATACAAACATATTTTTTCATTATTATTATTATTATTATTATTATTATAGTCAACTAAAAGACATCCTCCAGAAGAAAAAGATTATAAGTAATATTATAAGTTTTTTTCACACTGTCTGTGTGTAATGTATTATTTATATTTTATTTTCTACTAAAATTAGTTGAAATGTAATTTGTAGTTTAATTATTACATTATAATATTATAATAGTTTTCATTTCTAGTAACTTTTTTTTGTCTTTTGCCATGATGATACATTTTACTTGCTATTTTGCAAGATACTAGCATTCAGCTATAAAGCCTGGTTTAGATTTCTACGCCGAGTAGTAGTCATCTGCGTGACCCACGGCGCTTGCCTTGCAGGTTGTTGTGCATTTATACTTCTGAGCGCTGTTTGTTTTGCTCTGCAGTAACACTTCCGAAACGCCAACTGGCAGTACGTTTTTGTGTTCCTCTGTGTCGAGTTTCTTCGTGGGTGTTTTGTTTTTTCTGAACGTTACCTTAACGCAGAAGTAGCTAAAGCTCACTCATTCAGAGGCGGGAGCTGGCGGACGTGCAACAAATGTAATCATAAGGTGAACACAAAACAAGAGTCTCCCTCTGGAGCTCCTTCACAGCACGGAACACCTGTAAACACTCGCACCGCCCACACTTGTCACAGCTACCAAGCCGACCAATCACAGAGCTTGCGCTATGCATCATTGCGACATGTTACATTTTTCGAGAGGGGCGCACCAGCATTGGCAACAGCCACGGCAAGGGCTATCCAACAGCACGAAGGCTGTGCCAGAGCATACATGTGCACTTGATGCAGAAGTACAAATAAGTCTTAAAGCTTGGTTGGTTAATTAGGTTAACTAAGATCGGTTAAATAGGCAAGTCATTGGAAAACAGTGGTTTGGAAAACAGTTAATTAATTTTAAAGCATAATTGTTATTATTACAGCCAAACTAAAATATTGTTAATGTCCTTGCTCTGTTAAACATCACATTTTTCTAAAGAAAGGGATAATAATTTTGTCTTAGGCTGTAGACTGGCTGTGTCTAGTTTTATTTATTTATTTAAAGAAAATTCTTTTGCTTTGTAAAATGTGTTGAAATGTATTTATCATTTGCAGTTATTATTAATAAATATTAATTATTGTGATTAGCTATCTAAGCAGCATTAAATTTTGGAGATGAAGCATTGGTGATTCTCCTTCATTCATAAGTCACTCTCTCTCTCTTTCTTAGATCTGCTAAGAAAAACTGGGAGGACGATAAGATCAAGACTCACCCAGAGAAAGACAAAGCGCACTGCCTGTGGGACAGCATCAGCACCACCATGAAGCAGATCACACCCACCAGGAAGATGGACAGGATGGAGGGCTGGGAGCCGCCACAGCTAACGGACGGGCAGATGGAGGAGGACAAAACTGAGCTGGAGAAGAAGAGGAGCGACTCGTCTCCGCTGTCCTCACCCCTGTCACTCTCTCTGCCTCATTCTCTGGGTCTGCCATCCTGGGTGGGTTTGGGTTTGGAAGAGGACTCGTCCCGCTACGCCAGCCTGACCGAGTCTCAGACGGGTGGCCCTGCGCAGTGGGCGGCGAGGGCACGAGATAAATTTGCCGCTGTCCGCCGTAGAAGTCCAGCCAACCTATCAGAGAGCACATGGGAGGGGCTTAAGTGATTTACATATTCAGGATGACCACGCCTCCTTTGCATACCAATAATTGGACCGATGAGTAGGACCCTCAGACCAAGAGTGCCTGCTTTTAATGCCTGTCAATGAATCATGTTCACTTTTCCTTTTGATGCAAGTGACTTTTCAGCTTTTGAATGAAGCTTTTTTTTTTTGGAGAATTCCCTGGATTTTAGTGATTGACTGATCACATAACGTTTCAGAGATCATTTTTAAAGTAGGGCTGGGCCAATATACAATTTTATATCGAATCACATTAAAATTGATGTCAATAACAATAAGGGTCAGTGTATCTTTTGGTCATTGTATTTTTATTTTGGAAACAGATATTAAAGAAAATGGTTACGCAGTGGTGCAGTAAAGTAAACCTTCTCTCACAGCAAGAAGGTCGCTGGTCTGAACCTCAGCTCAGTTGGCGTTTCTGTGTGGAGTTTGCATGTTCTCCCTGCATTCCCCACAGTCCAAAGACATGTGGTACAGGTAAATTGGGTAGGCTAAATTGTCCGTAGTGTAAGAGTGTGTGTGAGTGTGTGTGTGTTTCCCAGAGATGGGTTGCAGCTGGAAGGGCATTCGCTGCGTAAAAACAAGCTGGATAAGTTGGCCGTTCATGAATATTTAAAAAAAAAATAAAAAATGAGTCGTTTTTTTATTTCCGGTTAAAAATTAAAAAACAAAAATTAAATTCAATGAGTTTTTTTATTTTTGTTTTTGAATTTAAAACAAAATTTGAATTTTACCACGAAAATCAAAAATTGCCTGTTGTTTTTTTTTCATGGAGAAAAACTAAATTAAACAATGATTTGATTTTCATTTTTTATTTCGAATAACAAAAATAAAATCAACAGAAAACAAAACGAACAGACATGTTTTTTTATATTCCCAAACCAGATAGGCAAACTCATTTACGATGACGCAATGCTAACCTGCTAGCCTTCTACGGGCTATTATTTTTTTCCAGTTAATAGTGTAAAAGGTATTTTCTTGTTATAACAGGATTTTAAAAGTTTTAAAATTGTTAAAACCATAATGCTTCCACTTCCCGAAGTTTGACCACGAATCATTTCAAGTGAGGGAGGCATTAATACCGATGTTTGTTTCGCAGATTTCAATGAGTCAGATTTTACAATAAAAATTAACAATTAATTTTATCTAAAAGGAGGCATGCTGCACAAACATCCTGATAACCATCCCTTGTCTTTTAAAAATGGACTATCACTAAGCTTGCAGATGAGCTGTGTGCGTGTGTCATCACCCTGATACAGTGGGTCTATCCATAATTTCATATAGCCATGTGCAAATATAGCAGAAGATTTTTAATACATAAATTAAAAATTATTAAAAAAACGCCCACTGCTAATATATATATATATGTATATATGAGCAATTCCAGCGTTATGGATGTGACATTTGCAGTAAAAACTCAAAACATAATTTCACACAGAAAGTATATGTTGACATTATATCGAAACTTCTGTTTATATTTTCCAAAATAGCTCACCACAGAGTTATGGGAGCAGAAAAATATCAATATGTAAACATGTTTTATATTTTAAATTAGGAAAATAAACATGCGTTATGGATGTGACAAAAAAAGTTTGCGAATTTGCAGTCGACAACAGATTATTTAGAAATTCTGACAGTTAAACTGCACAACCCAAAAGACACAATGCTCATCAAACAGGTATGAGTCGGCTCACTATAGAATTAAAATGATTGATTTTATTTTATTTGACATTTTTGCATTTATGAAGAAAAAGTGTCGTTATGGATGTGACACATTTCCGTTATGGATGTGACAGCTGTGAAATTGCCACTTGTGTGATTTTGGCAAATTAAATATAATAGTTTGAAATACTGACAGATACATTCACGAGTATTTTTACAGTACTGTAAAATACTTGCTAACACAAAAAATGTAGAAACGGTTTGTCTATTTTGCTGAAAACTAAATAATTTTTTATGGCAAGGTTGACATTTGCTTGGAATTGCCCATATATATATATATATATACATATATATATATATATATATATATATATATATATATATATATATATATATAACTATAACATGGAGAGATAAGCAATGATTCCGAATGAATGTCCAATGTCACGGTCACTCCTGAAGTGGACGTAATTTTAACAATAAACTTTATTTTTAGAAAACTGTTCAGCAATGCAAATAATGCATACATCGTCAATTATGTTGTTCCATATAACCGGCTTCAATGAGGAAAATATGCATTAGCCAAATCCTGTTATCACAAGAAAATACCTTTTATAACATGAAGTGGAAAATAAAAAAAAAAGTCTAAAGAGGGCTAGCAGGTCAGCATTGCGTCACCGTAAATGAGTTGGTCTATTTGGTTTCGGAATATAAGCAGACAAGTCTTAAATCGTTTTTTTATTTTTTATTATTTTGTTATTCAAAATAAAAAATTAACATCAAATAATTTATTTAGTTTTTCCATTTTTTACCATGAGAAAGAAAAACAAGCCATTTTTTGATGTTCATTTTTAAAATTAAAAAACGAAAATCAAAAAATGCATTGAATTTCACTTTTCATTTTTTATTTTAATGTTTTTTTTTTATTTAATAATGTTTTTCAATATCTGTTTCTAAAATGAAAATCCAATGACCAAAAGATACACTGACCTAAAAGTGTGTTGACACATTAGCTCGGCATATACCCCATTAATCGGCCAAAAATGTTATGCCATTTAATGGATCCTCTGATTTTTGTGGCTTCAGTCATTGTTGGGGTACTCTTTTAAATTTAGAACCATTAACAACTTATAATCAAAATATACATCGTTATTGTTCAATATGGAAATATTAAGAGAGATTGCATTTTTGCCATATCGCCCAGCCCTATTTTAGAGGGTTAGTTCACGCAGAAATGTAAATTACCACATCCTCAATTCTCCCTCATACTTACTCCCACGTTTATATTGAAGTTGATATTTAGCCACACCATGTTGGTGTTTTGTAACATAATTGTTACGAATTGGGTCGGTAGCCCAACACTCAACCCCCAACCTGGAGGACCAGGACATAGACACATACACTACAGATAATTTAGCTTACCCAATTCACCTATAGAACATTTCTTTGGTTCTATGGGGAAAACCGGAGCACAAGGATAAAATCCACACGAACATGGGGAGAACATGCAAACTCCACACAGAAATGCCAACTGAGCCAGCCTCACACCTTCTTGCTGTGAGGCGACAGCGCTACCCCCTGTGCCATCGTGTCACCTTTGTCTATGTAACTCTAAATCATAACCCCAACCTAACCAATGGAGTGGCCCTTAATTTCCCTCATCAGTGTTGAACACTGAAAAAATAACAGGGAAGTCTATGAGTCCCAGCATTCTTCAAAATATCTTCTTTTGTGTTCATCGAACGAAAGAAAATCAAATATTGAAAATGGAGAATAAGTAAATGATGACAGAAAAGCCAAAAAACTGATTGTTTTGCTTTAAAGAACTCAATAGGCTATATAAGAAGCCATATTAATTTTGTTTCAACTGAATATGTATTTTTGTCTCAAAACTTCTATTTAAGGAATCCCCAATAACCATCTTTAGCTAAAAATGTTATTTAATGTTCTACTGATGAAAGTAAGTCATCGTGGATGGCCTGAGGGAGAGTAAATTAGCCACAAATTACATGGTTCCCTTAAATTAATATTTTGTCGTAATTCACCCGCCTCACTTACCGTTACTTCCAAATCTGTTTGTTTTCTTCTGTGGTACTAACGTTACTTAAAGTAGCCTAGTTTAGCACATTGTCTCGAGTATTAGCTGGCGTTATTGTTCATACAATGAAATAGTAGCTACTAATAAGGACAGAAATATCGCGAATATAGTCTAAAATGACTTGTAAGTTATATTATAAGTGTTCTTAAGTTATGTTTTCGTCAGTGAACAAGTTAGCGTTCACTTTCATTGCATAGCACTAATGGCTGTCAGGACGTTTTGCTACACTTCTATTTTCCACAGTTGATACCCAGACAGGTTTGAAATGTCCTAAGTGATTAAAAGATGACAGAATTTAAACATTTACCTAAATTATCCCTTCAAATTTGCGTTTTAAGCCAGTGTCGAGTGGGTCTAGCAAAACTGCAATACTCATCATCACCTACAGATGGCGCATCGCGTCTCAATCTCCCCAAAGACTCCTGAAGAAGAGATCTATGATTATAAATAAACTAGTATAAAGTGTTTATTTCTCTCAGATTCAGTCGTGCTTAATTTATTCTGGTGTATAATAGAGTTGAATGTAAAACAAATGTAGAAACACCTTCAGCCGATCAGAAAAGATCGCTACTGCCTGCTGATAAACAATCATAAATGTACTGTAATTACTCTATGCAATGATTTCTCGCTATAATCCCAAACTATTTGCTATATATTGGTCATGCAGACATTGTATTCAGTGCCATTTTCTGATCACGAGGAAGAGAACTTGCTTTTTAAGACATAGCCTACTGGGAATCATTTTACCCTGAATGTGTTTGTATGTGCTCACTGATTCTTGCCTTTGGAGATTTAGATTTGGAAGAAGAAAAATAAAACCTTTTTCTTGTGTGAAGTGGGTTGGAGGTCCACAAATGTGACAAGGATTTAGTAATAACTGCTGTTTGAAACATATTTAAAGCCTTCCAAAGACCTCAGAAGCTGTGCCGTTTAAGCGCATAAAGTTTTAATTAAATTTTTCTTTGCAGTGCCTCAATTTAAGTCATTTTATAGTGTGATCATGATGAAATATTTGCCAAATATTCTCTTCCAGCACTCTTAAAAGGGTAAAAAAAGGACAACCATCACTTAAGTCTAAAATGGAAAGTCAGATATGCATTTTATATATAAACCTCTGGCCTTTTAAGATCTTTGATTTGCTATAGAGTATGTGTGAGTGGCCTTATTGCTGATTAAAGGAGATTATTTATAAGGTTGATCAGATTATAAGTGGGTTTGCTTGCTTATAGTAGCTTTATAGAATTAGTCCAGAAATGTTTAACAGTGACAGATAATTATCGATTCAGCTTTTTCTCTGGGGCCTTTGCAAGATCCTTATTTGGTTTGTTTTTATCTTGACACTACTGAATGATTTGTTTCTGTATTGTTACGATTGAAATGCTGTAATTCCAGGACTTCAGATGAGTGAATCTGAATAAAACTTACACTATAGCCCACATTTAGACCGGGTTCTTTCTTTCTTTCTTTTTTTCTTTCTTTCTTTCTTTCTTAATACAGTGATGTTTCTTTGTT